GGGACTGATGAAATGAAATGCGGATAGGTCTCTTGTGATACAATAGTGAATAATTGTTATCAGGACTGATTGTGAGGGTTAGAAATGTAAAGGTAGACGTTTTGTAGCCAGGAGGGGAGTGATTGACTTTTCAGTCTAGGAGCTGAGGTCCCTAGGACCATCAAGGGAGAAGACTGGAGAGCGGGACCCTACCCAGAGAAGCAGTGATGCCTGAGATAGAGGCAGAGATGATGATGTGGAAAGAAGGAGCACCTGGGGACTTTAGAACCAGAGAGGGAGAGGGGCTGTGTGCTGATGACGGGGGGAGTAGAGTGGAGGCAGGCTCGTAGGATATACCCTGTGGTTGGTTGATGAGGCATGGAGGGGATTATAAACATGGCAATGAAACGATATATGATAGGATGAATGTAAAACTAATGTTCTCCCATGTAAACTATCACATAATTCACAATAAAACATTTAAAAACAATAAAAAGGCTGGGTAGTCACAGACAAGAGCAGCATGTAGTCAGGTGCTGCCTGCTACACGTCGACAGTGAGCTGCTGACTAGAGCTGTCATTCAAAGTCATGTTTCATGCCTTAGTTTCTAGCTCATGAGGACTCCAGATATGTCCGAGTAGACCTATAGGACTTTCAGTGGCTGGTTTTGGGATGCAGATTTTCAGACTGTAGTTTCCTCTGGGTGGACTTAAAAACTGCCATCCTGTTCCTGGAGCAACGTGTACTGGTTCAGCATGTGTGGATGGCTACATGATTGGAAAATTGGTATGGCTTGGGTCTGAATGTGACAAAAATTCTTGAATCTGTCAGTGTAAGATTGAGTATCCTGCAGAAATACAATTCTGAGGGGAAATTGGTAAGGGAGAGCTGAGTCATTGCACATATGAGGGTATGTCTTTGTCTTTTGGGAAACTAAAAGGTATTTTTAAAAAAGTGAGTCAAAGATTATATACCTGCCCTGATTATTTCCTATAACATCAAGTATAGAAAATGTCTCCAAGTAAGTTACATGAAGGGGCTTCAAAACGTTTGTGGAAAACATTTCATTATCTTTCAATTCCATGTCCCCATGACTTTTTGAAGCTCTGTCTTAATAAGTTGGAAAGACTAGTCTTTGATGACTGTCAAACTGAGACAGCAATCTGGCGTTAAAATCTAGCCACATCATTGGTCTGTCTCTCTCCAAGAATGCTATACTGATCTCCACTCAAGATTTTCATTGCAGTCTTTAATCCTATGGCTGAATTTCTTTTAAGATCCAAGGATTGAGAAGGGCTTCTTGCGGTTCATAAATGCCCACTGGATCTTGATGTTGTGAAAATCAACAAAAATTGAGGCAGGGTGAACACAGACTATTTAAGGAAGAGAAACGTAGAATGTGGAAGACGTTTCAAACATGAACTGGCTGGCAAAAGTCCTGGTGTGGCTTAAAGTCCTGCGCTTCAAGGACAGTTTGAACCATAAGGTCGACTGTTCAAACTCACCAGCTGCTCCCTGGAGACCCTATGCAGTGTTGCTATGAGGTGAAACTGACTCCACAGGGCTCAACAACAAAAGATTTCTTTGCTAGTTTAACCTTTCAACACGTGTGATTTCTTTGCTATTTTAACCTTTCATCACCTGTGATTTCTTTGCTAGTTTAACCTTTCAACACCTGTGAAGTGAAAGCGGTACTTGTTGTGAAGTGCTGACTCATCGTGACCCTGCAGTTAGCAATCCAGTGCTTATCCTGCAATGCCACACTAGGACCCAGAAGTCAAAGTGGAAAATGGGTTTTGTTTAAGTCTGGTGATAATTTGACACTCAACAATGTCTCTACACCGTCTCTTTAGTCTCTCAACAAGACGTCAAATACAGTGGCACTGTAGATCAGTACTGGTCTGTGAACTACAAGGTCAGCGGTTCAAACCAACAAAATGCTCGTCATATCCCTATACAGGGTCGTTATGAGTTGGAACCGACTCGGCACTTGACAACAAACCTGCAATTTAAAAGTAACTTATTTTTGATGATTACCCTTGCTGAAAAACAAGTGAACTAGAATTCAAACAAATTCTTCAAAAGCAAAAAGCTATATGCACTCATCATGTTTCTTCTTCTGGTTTTGTCTGTTTGATCTTATGGTAAGAAAGACAAGTTCCAGAGACCACACATTGATTTCTGATGCAACATCAGCCACACACCAAACCTCTTAACCCACAAGAACATCATTTACTGTATTATTTGTTAAGTGCTGTCAAGTCAGTTTCAACACAGTCACCCAGTACAGAGTTTCTAAGGAGCCGGTGAGTTCAAACCAACCTTGTGTGGTACACTTATCCTACAGTATCACACTAGGGATCAGAGCAGTCCCCTTCTCTTCTTGGCCCCTGGGGAGATGTTTGGCTCACAGCCCTACAGACCAGCTAAGAGCACAACCTCGGAACTTTAGGAATTCTTGGATACCTAGTACCTGTGTTTGGATGTTTTTAATACAATCCAAAACTATCAATAAGTCCTCAACTACATACAGCCTACTTTAAGTCTAAACATTAGCATCCTGCACAAGAGAAATTTAAGTATAATTTTTCAATAGAGAACAGTGAGAATTATAGTGAAATTAAGTGCTGTTGACTGTTCCGACATAGTGACCCTGTCTGGGTTCCCAGTGACAGCTGGTGGGTGTGAACTACCTATCTTGTAGTTAGCAGTCTAGTGCTTACGCTGCAGCTCATCAGGCCTATAACCTCATTAAGTAGAGATGTTTTTACCTTGTTCCATTATACACCTGGAATCCTGGTAGAGCCCTGTAGGTATTAGCACTGGTAACTGCTAGATTAGCAGTTCAAGCCCACCTGCCACTCCTTAGAAACGCTGGTCACCGAGTAGGACTTCTAGGCTAGATGCCTAAGAATTATCATAATGTTGCAAATTCTTTATCAGACGAGAATATGGAGCCTCAGTGCTCCCCAGAAAGCTGACACCTGGAGAATACTTATGTACTAAGTGCACCGTGAAGTCTTGCCATCTTCTGTAAAACAGATTTCATGGGATACCCGCTTTTACAATGGATGTCGATAAACTCCTGCAATGCATTATGATTGACTACCTAAGTAAATTTTACTTTTATGAGTCCTGGTGTGGCACTGTGGGTTAACGTGCTTGACAACAATGTCAGTTTGAACTGCAACGTTGGTGGTTCAAGCTCACCAGCCACTCCTTGGAAACCCCTATACAGGGTCGCTATGGGTTGGAACTGACTCAATGGCACTTAACAAATTTGTTTTTTGAGTTTCAACAGAGGTGGGACTATTGACAATCCTGTATTTTAGAGGTTTCATAATTTGAAAATCCACTCTACAATTTAATGTGTGGCACTAAAGAGCAGCAGCAGTCTCCTGCCACCTCAGCTTCCTGCTTGTTACTTGTTTCTGAATCACAGGTATTTGAAAACATGCCCCACTCAGGGCCTCCTGAAGGTGAGCACATTCCTATACTGCAGGGACCGTCCCACCCAGATTCAGGTTCCGTGAAAGGTTCCAGACCTCAGAAACATGTGGTAATGGTGCCAACTTTGATGAGCAAGTCCAGACTCCAAGTGTCTCGTGGGCACTAGTAGATCCTGCAGGTGAGGAGGAATCTGGAGAATGGGAAGGCTTAGGGAAGGTGAAGATTTTTTTGGTCTCTGAACAGGCAAGGTTCAATTCAGAACCCTTAGAAGTCACTGCACTGTGTGCTGGCTGGCTTGGTGTCCCAAACCCGGTGTTCTTCACCAGTTCCACGGCTGCTTCCCATGCAGCGAGTATGCCTTGATGCAGCAGAGCCTATAAGGGTCCAGTTTACATAAGAACACGGAACCACAAGCTTTCAGACACGTGCCACGGGGTTTGTCAATAATACACTCGGAAGCAAATGGTACACTTTAATAATGACAAAAAACACAACCACAGAGCAGCAATGTATTTCCCCATTCTAGTAGCAAATAGGCAGAAGAACCATTAAAAATAGATTTTACTTCAACATGTAGGGTCTTAACTACACCTCGGAACATGTGTGGAGTTACCTGTGGTGGTTCTGAACACCCTTTTGGCCCAGGCCTCACTCTTGGGGGCAGGGCCTGGCTTTTTTTAAGCCTCCAAGAAGCTCTGGTTAATTCCTTCTGGCTGAGCCAGGTTTAGTGTAACTGGGGCACTTTGGGTTTTCTGGGCTGTTGCTTGGGGTTCTGGGGAGTTTTCCGGGCAGATTTACTAGGAGTGGCGAAAAACTTGGGTCCGGGCTTTTTAGGAGTCTGCCTTGGGTCTTTCTTGCCCAGAGCAGAGGCTGATTCTTTTGCTGTCTCTTCTCGAATTCTTGGCTTCTTCTGGGGGCCTGTAGCTGAGGCCCCCGTCTCTGCTGGGCCTGTAACCTGGAAGTCTGGTTCTGTGCCTTTCAGGGTCCCCAGTGCAGAGGTGGCCTTTCTCTTCTTCCTAAGAGGAGTGTTGGGAGCAGGACTCTTTTGTGGAGACTTCTTTACTATGTCACCCTTTGGCATCTAAGAAAAGAAGAAAGTTCTTAAGTCAAGGGGGGAAATGGAGGCAGAGAAGGGACAATGCCTTGTAGTTACTGTGTTTGTTTTATCAGGTAACCCCAAAGGGATCACTAGTGTGAGGAGGACATGGAGAATGGCCTTTCCTAGATGTTCTGAAAAGTAGCTGAATTCCACGATTCATAACGGTCAAAGGGACCTGAGTGTGGGGCAGTTCTTCAGGGTTGCGTGGAGTTGGAACCGACTCCCCGCCATGGTTTTCCTGTGTGTGAGGAGAAGGACCCTTGGACTCCACCACCATAAGCCCAGCTGACAGACCTGTGACCCAATTCTGACTCTTCTTCTCATGAAACTGTAAACTCCTTGCAATGTGGTTTAGTTAGGGTAGGGAGTTCTCAAACTGTTTAAAAACCAACAGTGCTTATTAGACAACCCATCCTCCAGAAGTCACATTCAGAGGGCCTTTGAGGGGAGTGAGTTGCCAGCTAAAACCACCAGGTGGCTGCTGCTGCTGGTTGAGGACACGATTTTCACAGCCATCTCTGTCCAGTACCGAAGTACCTTACAGAGAGACCAGTGAGCTGGGCACTACAAAGGTAACAGGACAGGATCCCTATTGCGTATCTTTCCATCTGCATTTCTAAGCACGATGAACTCTATGAGACATTACTGCTGATGTGGTGCTGTAGGATCAACACGTGACTGGTAACCACAAGGGCGGTTCAAACCTACCAGCCGTTCTTTGGAAGCCCTATGAATCAGGACAGACACAATGACACTTAGCAACAAGAAACATTACTAATGATTTTACCAAAGCCACTGCAAGGACACATGCTATTTTTCAAATTTTTGCTTCCAGAGTCAACACTGATGAAATGTATACATGATTACCATGATTCTACTTCCCACAAGGGCCAAAGGAGGTGAACCCGCCAAAGGTTCGTGAGGGACATTGGTCAGCTCTGCTAACACTGTACCCACTGGTCCCATAACAAAAACAGCTTGTTTTTCCATCCCCAAACCCAAAGATACAGCGTACAATTAATACACCGACCACTGGGGCAAATTTCAAGAATATTAAAAATTCAGTAGCATTTCTGGGGTGCGTCTAAACGAGAGACTTCCACTCACATATGAAAACATCATCACTGCTAAAGACTTTAAGGGTTACTGTGACCACGAATTACAAACAATTTACAGCGCAAATGTGTTAAGGCCCATGCTACGGGGGACAGGCTTTGCTCAGAGGGGCCAGGGAGTCTTCTCAACACCTGCTGAGTGCAACTCTCCCCACCAAACCCCAAGTTTCTCAGGGACCCATTTCCCTTTCAATTTCAGGGGCCAGCCTCCGGTAGAGTTAAATGGACACTGCTAAGTGCAGTGAAAACATTATCCAAAGCAACAAACAGAAAACACACTCCAATCTGTGCGAGGCTGCAGCCGTGTTGAAGGGGTGTCCCTGTCCCCAGGTTGGCCTATCAAGCTCTCCCAGAACATGATAAGGAGATCCAGGGCTGACCTTCAGAAACAACCACCCTGCCTAAGTGACTACCCTAGCCTGCCTTTTAAAACCAAAGGCAATGCTTTTCAGAAACACAAACCTAGTCAAGTCACAGAAAGATCTGGTCCTACATTAGCCCTTAAATGAAAAACTTGCTGAGGTGAAATAAAGGCAAATGCCCTGGTATTTGTCACCTGTTGTTTGGAAGGCTTTGGTAGAACAGGTGTCACTCTGAGACGAGTTCTACAATGAATACCTCCCACCTGAGAACCACTTCGTCCCTTCCCCACTCAGAACAGGGCCTGTTGGACACATAGTACCACCAGTCAATCAATCCATGATGAAAACAAAACAAAAAACCTACCTCTACGCTTTTGTTCTTAGCAGGCGTTTTCTTTATCGGCACCAGCAGTGGAATTTCATCCCCGGAGTCGTCACCCGCTTTCAGCTGGGTTTTCACTCTGTGGCGCTTTTTCTTCTTTTCGGAGGTCTCCCCACCCTTCTGGGCTCCAGCACTCTGGATTTCAGCTGTATCCTTCTTTACTTGACTTCGGGCTGAATTAGCCTTTGCGGCCTGCTGCATTTCTCTTTTTCTCCTTTTCTTCTCTTTCTTTTTCTGGAGCTTTTCTGTCTGTTTTTTCTTTGCATCCTGCCCCCAAAATAACACCACACAAACAACACACACAGGTTAGCAGTGGTGACTTTCGATGGGAGATTAATTCCAACAGGAGAAAGTCAGCCCTCTACCAATGCCAACAGCCGGGTTCTTCACCCTTGTTTTTCAACAAATCAGGTTCAGAAGACTGCAGGTCTCAACTCCACTGGACTGTCTGCGACTCCTGGCCACTTTATGAGGTAAATCAGATAACGGCAAAAACACAGGCTTTCTGCCTCCAATAATGGCAGTCTGTTCTTTTGGACCATCTTTCCAATGAAAGCAAGTAAGTTAAAAGACACTATTACAACATTCTGTGGAGTCCTGGTGTGGCGCTGTAGGTTAATGCGCCAGACTGAAAAGCCGTGTGAACTGCAAGGTCCACAGTTCAAGCTCACCAGCTGCTCCTTGGAAACCCTACACAGGGTCACTACGGGTCAGAATCAACTTGACGGCACTTAACAACAACACCACAATATTCTGTAAGAATGCCTTTTTCCCAAAGCACAGTTAAACTAATTCCACTCTATGAAATGTAAAGGGGAAACCCAGAAGGATAACTGAGCAGAGAAGGCATTTTTGTCCTGAGAATATGGGTTATTTCCTAACTTGGACAGAGAATACGAAATATATACCATGGACTGTCAAAAGAACAAACAAATCTATCCAGGAAGTAGTACAGCCAGGATGCTTCTCAGATGGTTAGACCTCATCTCTCATACTTCAGACATGTTATCAGGAGGAACCGGTCCCCAGAGAAGGACCTCAGGCTTGGTAAAGTGGAAGGTCAGTAGACCCTCAAAGAGATGGACTCACACAGTGGCTGCAAAAGAGGACTTAAGCCCAGCAATGACTATGAAGCTGGTATAGGACAGGGCAGGGCTCTGTGCTATTGTACACAAGGTGCCTAAGAGCTGAAACCAAATCAAGAGTACCTGACAAAAACAAAAACAAAAACAACACGCAGTGTAAAAAATGCTACTAACTTTTTTCTTCTGGGCTTGGGTGAGTACTTGTTTCCCATCCAAAGAGCTGACATATGAAGAGAAGACAGGAAGGGCAACCGATTTCTCAGTTTTCAGGTATAAAAGCTTCACACTCTGCCACTTCTGCAACAAAGAAAGGAACCACACCACAGGTATGTCTTTTGATTGTTTCACACCATCGATCAATGGATACACCTGCAACACTCTGTACCTCTGGCAATTTTTCTGAAAGTCCTTTTGTGACTGCAATGATGTTTTCCACAATGTGCTGCATCTTCATTCCAGTGTGACCAACGCGTACAGTGCTGAAAGTTTAAGAAACATGAAAATCATTAGGGTCTAAATATGATTGAGGAGTATCCTCTGGGGGGGGTGTGTGTCATGTTCTAGAAAGTTCTTTCAGATACGGTAAGCGGCGAGCTAAGCCAATTGGGAAATCCAGACATGCTCACTGCTTAACCTTTGGCAGTGCCTGTCCCTGCTAACCTCCTACCCCAACTCCTGGTGGGTGGGTGCTTGCAGGACAAAGAGGAGGCAGGGCTGGGCGCTTCCAGCTCCTTTCAGCTGGACTGGGTTCCAGGCTCTGTGCCCTTCATTCCTGGCCTGCAAGCACACACTTGGCTTCCCAGCTGAAAAGACAGCAGACGGAAAGAAAGAAGACAGGAACCACTGTGCTGGAGTGATGAAATTAGCCCACGTTTTATGGGGTTGACTTTTTGTAGTTGTCACAACTTTGGTATTAACCTGTGAATTTTGATGCGGAAAAAATCCAAGTCTCCTGCCCCTTCATCTGCCTTCAAGGTACCAGCCCGTTGTCCCAGCTACACACTGGTCAGGCCAGGCCCCTGACCAGACATGACCATGAATCCCTAACTACTCCGATGTGAAGCTGTAAGTCAACGGGCTGGGAGTCTCAGGCCCCGCAAGCTCCTCTTCTCAGTCTACCTGTACCCTATTGAAAACTTTCTACTTGCAGACAGGAGGCACCAACAGAGCCCACCGGTCCCGCCCAGCACACACCCTGCTCTGTACTCCCTGCTGGGCTCATCAACCTTCTGTTCTATTTTCTGGTGGGTACTCCCACTGGGTACATCTGGGGTCCTACTTATGGTGGAAGGCACAGGAGGAAAGACTATTAGCAGGTGCCTAATGGTAGCGTAGGACCCGACTCGACGGCACTTAACAACAACAACAATGGTAGCGTAGAGGTTAAGACTCAGGCTGTGATCCTAAAGGTCAGTGGTTCAAAACCACCAGCCATTCCACAGGAGAAAGATGAGGCTTTCTGCTCCCATAAAGATTTACAGTCACAGAAACCCTATCAGGGTCGCTATGAGTTGGAATTGACTCCGTAGCATACAACCACCACCACTCCGTGTGATGAGTCCTGGTGTGGAGCTGTGGGTTAATGTGCTGGACTGCAATCAGTTTGAACTGCCAAGTTGGCAGTTCAAGCTCACCCGCCGCCCCTCAGAAACCCTATATAGGGTCACTATGGGTCAGACCTGAAGACTAAGGTGTGCCTGAC